CGTCTGTTGTCCCGGATTTTTATTAGACAGATAATCTCCGAAAGTACTCGACCGATTGTTGTGAAATTTTGTACTTATATTAAGAATATCATGTAGATGGTAAAACGCTAACCAAAATTTGTCTAATCATCCCCACCACTAAAGCGATGACGTCACTTCAAAATTGTACATAGTAAATGGGTTTTCAATTGTATAAAATAACATAGTCCTACACATGTAGTTTACAACTCTGAATCGACTTTTCACCCGAAACGTCCAGATTTTTGGAAAAAAAATCAAAATTATAAAACAACATTTTGAAATTTAATTTTTAATCTGCTAACCAGAATGCTCTGAAATCTTGCAGATGTTTTAAGGTCATAAAGAGCATAATAAATGTTTAGTCAAAATATATTTGCTTATCCCCTCCAAAAACTTGATGACGTCAGCTCGAAAGTTTGCCGAATAAATCATATCTAAAATGTACAAAATATGATGAGCCTGTACTTGTCATTTATCACTCCATTCATATTTTTTGGATTTGCATATACAGGGTGACTCAAAAAAATTAATGAATGCGTAAATATATTATTTTATTGATTTAATCAGGAACTACAAAACCGAATGCTCTGAAATCTTGCAGATGTTTTAAGGTCATAAAGAGCATAATAAATGTTTAGTCAAAATATATTTGCTTATCCCCTCCAAAAACTTGATGACGTCAGCTCGAAAGTTTGCCGAATAAATCATATCTAAAATGTACAAAATATGATGAGCCTGTACTTGTCATTTATCACTCCATTCATATTTTTTGGATTTGCATATACAGAGTGACTCAAAAAAATTAATGAATGCGTAAATATATTATTTTATTGATTTAATCAGGAACTACAAAACGGAATGCTCTGACATCTTGCAGATGTTTTAAGGTTATAAAGAGCATAATAAATGTTTAGTCAAAATATATTTGCTTATCCCCTCCAAAAACTTGATGACGTCAGCTCGAAAATTTGCCGAATAAATCATATCTAAAATGCACAAAATATGACCAGTCTGTACTTGTGATCTATCACTCCATTCATATTTTTTGGATTTGCATATATAGGGTGATTCAAGAAAATAAATGAAAGCGTAAATTTATTTTACTGATTTACTCAGGAACTACAAAACCGAATGCTTCGAAATCTTGAAGATATTTTAAAATTATCATAAGCATGGTAAATTTTTGATCAAAACGTATTTGGTCGTCCCCCCTAAAAAATTGATGACGTCACCCTTAAATTTTGCTGAATAAATCCTATCTAAAATGTACAAAATATGGTGAGTCTCTTCTTGTAATTTGTCATTCCATTCAAATTTTTTCGATTTGCATATACAGGGTGACTCAAAAAAATTAATGAATGCGTAAATTTATTTTATTGATTTAATCAGGAACTACAAAACCGAATGCTTTGAAATCTTGCAGATGTTTTAAGGTTATAAAGAGCATAATAAATTTTTAGTCAAAATATATTTGGTTATCTTCTACAAAAAACTGATGACGTCAGCTCAAAAGTTTGCCGAATAAATCGTATCTAAAATGTACAAAATATGATGAGTCTGTACTTGTGATTTATCATTCCATTCATATTTTTGGATTTGCATATGCAGGGTGACTCAAAAAAATTAATGAAGGCGTGAATTTATTTTATCGATTTAATCAGGAATTACAAAACCGAATGCTTTGAAATCTTGGGAATATTCTAAAGTTATTATAAGCATGATAAACTTTTGTTCAAAATGTATTTGTTCATCCCTCCTAAAAAAATTGATGACGTCACCCTTAAATTTTGCTGAATAAATCCTATCTAAAATGCAAAAAATATGATGAGTTTGTACTTGTGATTTATCATTCCATTCATATTTTTTAGATTTTCTTAAGAGGTGGTTCAAAAAAATTAATGAAGTCAATTTATTTTATTGATTAAATTAAAGGCAACACTTATTATTAGTATTACACCCCAACCAACCCAATTTGGTAGACAAAAAATTTGTTAAAGGAAAAACTCGGTTGAAACATAAGGGTAGCATGCTTATTTACATCGACTTTAACATTACAGACCTGCATTTGTTTTATGTGTTCACTTGGTTCCGCGAATGTGAAATAGACATGTTTATAATCAACCAATTGTGAATTTCACCGTCAAGAATTAAAATAAAACTCAATGTTTTATATAATAAGCGGAAGTCGAAGCAATAAAACCGATGGTCGTTTTGTTTACAGTTTCTCTGTTTGACTCTCACGTATGCTGTTACGCCTGTCATCTTAAATTAAGAATGTTTATACATACACGATTTTCAGTTGCCTCTGATACGTATACGTGAGTAAATTGTTTCTTTATTTTATTGATTATTACAAATCAATATTCAAAACGACCCTATTCATTTTCCCGAAAATTTGAGAATATAATAATTTTATTCTTAGTATTACACTACATCTATCCCAAACTGATATACGTGTCCTTGCAAAAATGTTGATGACGTCATCGCAATTTTTTTTTAAATTCCCACTACAAAAATGTAATGAGAAAAAACACAATAGGCATGCAGTCGTCAAGTTTCCGACAGCGAGGGAAGTACTGTCTAAACTCTTTAGACCAATTTTTTAGATTTGCTTATGCAGGTGACTCAAAAAAATTAATGAAAATATCAATTTATTTTGTTTATTAAATCAGGAACGGCTCACTGCATTTTCCCAGAAAACTTTGGGAATACAATACTGTTATATTTAGTATTACCGTGCACCAGTCCAAGTTGACAACTTTCGACCGATTTTTTCATCTATTTAAGCTTTTTTACGGATTTTTTAATCTATTTTAACGTTCTTTATCAAGTTTTTACGCAAACAGGCTAATTTTGACGTTGAAGTTTTCTATTGCTTTCTTATAAAATAAAGAACGTTGATTTTTGTCGCGAATTTTTTAAAAGTTGTGGATTTCTAAAGATTTTGACCATAATTCTATCGCAACGCTTATAAAAAAATAAAAAAAACACTTCAACGTAGGTAAAAAATTAAATACAAAATGTGGGATGAAACGTACCATTTTGCTTACTACTAATTTGTCCCTTTTTTGTGTTATATGTTTATTTTTATAGAATTGCATACTCAGACTATATGTGTGATTCATGAATCCGTTTCACCATAAAGATGCAGATTTTTGGGAAAAAATTCAAAATTGTATTTTACAATTTAACTTGAAAATTGCAAAAGCGAATGTATTGAAATATTCCAAACGTTTTAAGGTTATAGGAAAGATGATAAATTGTTAATCAAAATTTGTCCGTTTAAGGCCTTCCCAAAAAATTACGACGTCATCTTAGAATTCTTACATTTTATAAAAATAACATATTCCTCGATATGTGATTTGTGAATCCGTGTTGAGTTTTTATCCTTGGCATTTAGATTTTTGGGAAAAAATCAACATTGTATAACAATATTTTACAATGTAACTTTGAAATTGCATAAACCGAATGCTGTGAAATCGTCCAAATATTTTAAGATAATTTGAAACATGGTAAATCGTTAGTCAAAATCATTCAGGACACAAAATCAACCAAATTTCATTTTATTTTAAATCATAAACAGTCGAAGTTAAGCATATTCTGAGAAACTGAAATTGTCTAAATAATTTTTTCAAAACGCCAATGTCGTTTGTTGTTGTTGAAATTGTACGAGGTAAATTAAATATGTGCACACTAATGCTGTTACCTGAAACACCGAATTAATTTTTTGAATTTTTGAAATATATTTAACTCACCGTGAAGAGCAAAGGCCAGTCCAGTTCGACCAAACCGTGAGTCGTAAACTTTAGTCTCTTGACTTGAGTTTGTAGATAAAAAATTTCTCTCTAAAAGTACACGTTTTGAGTGAAAATGGAAACTTAACTGAAGTATTTTACCTCCTTGTAGTTAACATTTATTGAAGTATTTATAATATCTACAATTTTCACTAAATTTCGATATATCAATAATTTTATTTTACCTCTCTGTAATAGACAATGAACGGACATAACAACCAGCAAACTTCAAGAATTAATTCCAAAATCCAGTACACTGAAAGTATAACATCAAAATCCACCTCAGGGTCTTCGTACGACAACCGAGCTGTTGATATTGTCTGAAACAACACTAGAGCTAAATCGATTATGAGAGAGATAAACTTGAGAAAAACAGTAACTTGTGTAATATTTTACACGTCTTGCTTTAAATCACAGTACGTCTGAAAAATCTGTGTTATCTTTTTCGTCTCGACCAAGTTTGCTTGTTTCAAGAAGCCATTAAACTGTTTAACAACAGCAACGTCCCTTTGACCATCCAGAATACGAATTCCAAAGAATCGTCATCTTGCACCCACAACCAGTTTATCACAAAGATCACAAATAAGTTGCTATATAACGTAAAAGCGTAAAGTCGTAAATTTTTCTTTATTCTTGAATCGTCTATTTTTCGTCGAGTAATTCCTTCCAACAGCTCTCCAAATGCAACAAGTCTGTAAAAAACTCGCACCACCTGAGTTTGTTTAAAATTCATTATTAGAATAAACGTGGTGAAATATAAAGCTTCCATCGCTGTTGTAATTAGAATCGAAACGCTCTCGACTGCGTCCAAACTCCCGAGTAAATTTCGAAAATCTATCGACATAATTAGGATTAAAATGATGACAATGTTCATAAATATTGAGGTTGTGGTTCTCTTGAAAATTTTCCTTTCTTTGTTTGTGTCTCCGGGGTCATTTACCAAGCAGTAGGATGTAAATCCTGTCCATTTACATACAAAAAATACCCAAGAGAGCATGTTGATTAATCGCTGCTCCATAGTATTTGTGTTACAATGAAATGAATATGTGTAAGTAAAAAACAGAATAAATTTGTATTATTTTTTATTAAGTAGTTAGTAGTGTATTATGTGGACAATTGAAAATACTACTAATGTTATTAGTTATTAGTAATCCTACTTAATTGATTCAAGTCGTTCTAATTTCGTTATTGTTTATCAGCAAGTTGCTTAAACTGTATCAGGTAGATCAAATAAGTGGTCACTAGTGTCACAATCTACGAAAAAAAGTTATTAGTAATTTTAATTAGTCGAGTTATTTGACCTACAGTGTAGAATAAAGGCCAGTCCAAGTCCAATAACCCATGAGTTGTAAATTTCACAGTCGTAAGCATAGTTTGCAAACAAAAGAGCTCTTGTTCTTTATACCCAGAAAACGATCCGTTTTCTTGAATATCGTCACACAAGGAAACGGTGAACACAGCCTACGAAAAGTCTCATTCAAAAATTTTAAACCTATTATTCAAACTTACCTCTCTGTAATAAAAAATGAAGGGGCAAATCACGCTGAAAGCTTGAAACATTAGAACGAAGATCCAGTAGCCAGTAACGAGAATCAAGGGCAGCTTGCTGAAGTACTTGTTTTCGTAGATTTGCCCCATAATAAAAATCTGGTAGATCGTTGCAGCCAGCTCTATCACGATGTACACAGTCTTAAAGAAAACGACGATTTGCGAAATATTCTGAATGTTCTTTTTAATATCCGCGTACGACTGGAAGACAACTTTGATTTTCCTAATTTCCGTTTCACTTTCTGTTTTTAGAAAATCGTTGAACTGTCGAACAATGTTTATCGTGATTACTAGATAATAAAAAATCAAAATTTCGCCAGAAACCACCGAGAAATTTAAGACCGCGTCCTTGATCATCCACATTATGAAATCGATCCTGGCGTAATTCGAAACTGAAAACCAATTTGCAGACCACATGATTAGCAAGTTGGCGTACGTTATGAGGGTGTACAGTTTCAGGATTTTCTTCACTTTCGCGACGTCGATGTTTCGGTTGGTGATTTTTTGGGTGAGAACGGCGAAGGAGACGATTTTGGAGAAGGTTGTCACGACGCGGGTTTGCTTCATGTTGAGGATTAGAATGAGGATGGTGAGGTAGTGCATGTAGAGGACGGACGAAATTAGGGAGAAAACCATGTCGACTTTGTCCACGTTTAAAAAGAAGTCGGAGAAGTCGAGAGAGAAGAAGACGATTACGAGGACTAGGACGGCGTTCAAGTAATTCGATGATTTCGTTTTTGTGAAAATGTTGCGCTTGGTGGGGTGGGTTGGGGTGTAGGTGATGGAGTAAGAGGTGAAACCGGTCCACTTACAGACGAAAAATAGCCAAGAGGTTAAATTTATTAGTTGGCGTTCCATGGCGATGTTTACGACGAATTTAAAAACACTTCATTTTTATAGGGTAGTAGATAAATTATTACTAAGTACTTAAAAAAAAGAAAATTAGTAAATGGTAGTACAGACATGACGAATGACGTTAATAATTAAATTAATAGCGGTGTTGACACTATTCTAAACAAACACCAATATGTTGATGCGCAGTGACCTTAATAAATATTGAAACTTAAAATGCAAATAGAGAATTTATTTGTTTGATAAAGTACTAAATATCTACTCGAAAATCTTCCTCAATTTTTAGTGGATTTTTTGATAATTTTTATTGTGATATTTTTTTTATTTTTAAGCGAAATTTTACAAAAGACAAGTACCAAAATTTACTTTCTTCAAAGCTTCAGGTTTTTGTTATTAATTGGTAAATTTGTATCGATTATTGTGGGAATTCAGGCGTTCCTACTGAGTAAATTTTGGTTTATAAATTATTACCACAGATCAACAAGGTATTGTTCGCAATACCTTTCTACAATAAATTCAGTTTGGTAAACCTGTTAGGAAATACCTCACCTTCTGTTTGTAGTACCGGGGAAGGCGAAATTTGCTTTCACAGGACAAGGGTTGGAAAAGTGTTAAATGCGCTCTTGTTTGTTACTACTTCTTTTGCTGCAGTAAATTTTTGGCACTGTCACGCAGAAATCGACAAAACAAGTTTGGTGTCTTCGCAGATATCGAAGTGTGTTTTTTATTTATTTTTTTTATCTTGATTGTAACACTGATTGTAAAACGGTTGTTTTAAATTTTTCAGTGGGATCTTTGAAAACGGTATCTTCACATAATTCGTCATGAAACAGTTTCACTTTTTTTATACGTTTATTTGAAAAAGAATTGTTAATTTTCCAGGTATCAGCACATTTCCTTGATTCCTCCATTATTTGTTCAAAATTGTCACGTATACTTTGAAATTTGTCTTTTAGATGTTCCATCCATTTACAAGTCTCATCTAAAGTAATATTTGAACTCTGTAAAGTTTTTGAGACCAAATTAACATTTTCTAAAATTTTGCATTGAAATACTAATAGAGCAACAAATTCAAGTGAATCCATTTTTTTACGAAGAGCTACAGCTTCATCTATTTCACTTTTTTTTGATGTTAAAATAATTTCAGCTCATAACTATTAAGAGATTATATCTAATGGCAATTAGGGAATCAAATCTCGATGACCATCTGGTGGGGCATAACTTTTTTAAAGTTTTTTTTATAACACACTTATCATTTTCTTTCATCTCAATGTTGTTGTTGTTGTTGCCATCTCGGTAAACTCTCACTGAAATAGACATATATAGCATTTATTAAATCATAAAATGCGGAAATTCCTGGTACATTCTTAACAGAATCATTAAGGACTAAATTGAGGTTATGTGTAGCGCAATGAACATATTCGGCGTAATGATGTTGTTTCAAGTTCTTCATTTTTTTATACCATTTTCCCGATTTTTTAATTTTCATTTTCTGGATTTGATATTACAATTTTTCGTTTATTCAATTTTTCACATTTTCAATTCCTCGATTTTCCAATTTTCAATATTTAGATTTTACAATAATTTTCGTGTTTTCGACCGCAATTTTTCGATCTTTAAGTTTCTCAATTATTAATCTTTCGATTTTTGAATTTTCCGTTTCTTTAATTTCTCAAGTTTTTAGATTTCTCGAAGCCTTCATTTTATACTTTTGCGTTTTTTCATTTTGAGTTTTCAATTTTACAATTTTTCTATTTTATAACTTTTCCATTTTGTTTAATCGGAAAGTAGAAAATTCTAAAAATTGAAAAATCCGAAAATTAAAAAATTGGAAAAAATTGAAGAAACAAAAAATTGCAAAATCGATAAAACGGAAAATCGAATGGAATTTGTTTTTACGATTTTTTAACTTCGATTTTTTAAACTTTTTAATCTGTATTTCAATTTTTCGATTTTTGGAATTTTCTGTTTCTCATATCTGGGTTTATCGATTTTTTTTAGTTTTTCGATTTTTCCGTTTATCTTTTTTTTTAAGTAAATATTTCAATTTTGAATTTTCCGATTTCGGCCGATTTCGGCCTATTTCGATTTCTCGATCTTTTGAAGTCTCAAGTTCTCGATTTCGATTTCTTGGTTTTCCGATTTTCAAAATTTTCGATTTTTCTAATATATATTTTACATTTTCGATTTTAAAAATTTTTCATTTTTCCCTTTAATAATCTTTATGTTTCGATTTCCCGATTTTAATTTTTTAATGTGTTTCAATTTTTCCATTTTTGGAATTTTCGATTTCTCATATCTCAATTTTCCAATTTTAAAAATTTTTCGATTTCTCGATTTTACGTTTTCGCTATCTCAGTTTTAAACATCGCAATTTTGGGAATTTCTCAATTTCTATATTTTTCAGATTTTCCATATTTTCATTTTCCCGATTTTGTAATTTTCATTTTCTTGATTTTATATCACAATTTTTCATTTTTCCATTATCTTTTTCAATGTTTCTTTGGGTTTTATAATTTTTTGTTTATTCAATTTTTTACATTTTCAATCTTTGATTTTTTAAGTTCTTGATTTCCAATTTTTTATATTTCGAAGTTTTTTTGTATTTTTTCAGTTTTACAATTTTTCTATTTTATAATTTTTCGATTTTTTTTCGAAACAATGAAAAACTAAAAACCGAGAAACTTAAAAAACTAAAAAAAAATTAAAGAGTCGAAGAATTGAAAATTGTAAAGTCCAAAAACTGTGACAGTCAAAAACGGAAAGTGTTACATAATTAAAATGAAAGCTAGAAAAACTGCAAATGAAAAATTAAAAAAACCGGAAAATTGAAAGCAAAAAATTGAAAAAATAAAGACAATTAAAAACCCACAGGAAAAATTGCAAATCGAAAAATTGACGAAATTAAAAACTGTAAACTCGTGAAATTTGCAAACTCTAAAATTTGAAACATCTAAAAGTTGGAAAATCAAAAACTGAAAAATCGATAAATCGAAAATTTTCAAAAATCGAAAGATTGAAAAATCGAAATTTTGGAAAATCGAAAAACCGAAGAATTCAAACTGAAAAAAGATCGAGAATCAAGATGTCGAAAAATCTAAATATCTAAAATTTAAAAAATAGATAAATTACAATAACGAAAAATTTAACATTAAAAAAAAACACAAAATCAAAAAGTCGAAAAATCGAGAAATTGAGAAATGGAAAAATGAAAATTTAGAAAAACCAAAAATTGAAAAGCATAAAAAAAATTAAAATCGGGTATTCGGAACGTAAAAAAAATAAAACCGAAAAATTGAAAAATTTTAAATTTAAAAATTCGAAAACTTGAAAAACCGAAAAACTGAAGAAATGAAAAACCAAAAAATCGACAAATTGAAAAATCTCAAAACTGAAAAGTCGAAAAATTGAAAAACCCAAAAATCGATTTCTGGTAAGTCGAAAAATCAAAATTTAAAAAGTTGAAAAATGAAAATATCAAGAAACTGAAAAATATAGACATTCTCAAAATTGAAATGTTGAAAAATTGAGAAATCGAAAACTTGAAAAATCCAGAATCGAAAAATGAACGAAAAGTAAAAACATTTTAAAATCGAAAAAACGAAAAATCGAGATGTAAGAAATCGAAAATTCCAAAATCGAAAAATTGGAATACACGTTAAAAAGGTTAAAATCGGGAGATCGAAGCATAACAAAACATAAAATCGAAAAATGGAGAATTTTAAAAATCTAAAAACTTGAAGAAATAAAAAATTGAAAAATGGAAAAGCCGAGAAATCGAAATTAAAAAATTGAGACATCAAAAGATCCGAGAAATGGAGAAATCGAAAAACTGGAAAATTTAAAACTGAAATACATATTTAAACTTAAAAAAAACGATAAATCAAAATATTCAAAATTCGAAAAATCAGAAATTTTAAAAATCGAAAGATCGAGAAATCGATATATCAAAAAAGTGAAAAATTTTAAATTAAAAAATTGGAGATATTGAAAAATCCCAAAATTGGAACAACGAAAACTTGAGAAATCGAAAAACTGAAAAATCGATAAATTGGAAAGAGGAAAAATCGAAAAATCAAAGAATTGATTAATAGAGAAGTTGAGAAATGTAAAAATGATTTTTTTTTCAAAATTGCAAAAATTGTAAAACTGAAATATCGAAAAATTAAGTAAGCTAAAAATCGAGAAATCAAGAAATCGAAAAATTGTAATTCAATTTTGTTTTATTTTTCCACAAAAATTTCGATATCGAATATAAAAACTCCACACGGATTCATAGACCATAGGTACACTGTTACTTTTTTTTTAATTTATATAACATTTATTTGACAAAATTGTAGAACTGAAGAAACGAAAAATAGAAACATTGAAAAACTAGAAATCGAGAAAAAATTAATGAATCAAAGAACGAATTAAATCGAAAAATGTTCGTAAAGTCCAAAAACTAACATTCAAAGATCGAAAAATTAAAAAATTCCAAAAACGAAAAATTGAAAAAGTGAACAACTCTAATAATAATTATAATTATTATTACATATCTAAAACGAAAACTAGAAAACCTGCAAATCAAAAATTGAAGAAACGAAAACTTGAAAGCAAAAAAAATTGAAAAATCCAAAAACTGAAAAATTTCAAATTGAGAAAAAGAAAAAATATAAAAACTCGTTCCTCGCGCGTTAAAATATCTCGATTATTAATCACCTTTATTAGCAAACTTGTTCGTTAAATAGCTATTAATTTACCTGATCTCATTTTCAATTCCAATGAAAACCCTTTCTTTAAAAATTGCACATTTAAAAAAAAATGTCGGTTATGTTACGGCCTGCGGGGGTGCTATTTACGCCACTGGAAATAACATAAAAAAAATTGGTTAAGTTTTTACTCTACAGAATTTTGTGATGACGTCATCAACATTTTTGCAAGGACACGTATATCAACATGGATTGGTGCACAGTAATCCTAAAAATAGCAGTAATGTATTCCCAAAATTTTCTGGGAAAATGGAG